AGCATTTGGCTTCTTGGGATGGTGAAGGAGCTGTCCAACTTCCTGAAGACCATTCTGAGGGGCTGGTCTAGAACATGACTGGACAGTAGAGGATTGGGCTCTTTTGAGGGTATGGAAGGTCCAAGTCTCAGTTTGAGAGATGAGGGATTCTGGCATATCTAGATTGGTGTTTGGACATATCTTTTGCCTGGTGCATGAGTCTGAGTTGAGTCCTAGCTCAGTCTATGTGTGGCAGCTTGTAGGCTAGATGGGCTGTGACTTCCCATCAGGACACTTGGCTTGCGCCTAGGACTTGAGGAACTGGCTCAGGCTGAGTGCTTTGGAGGTAGCCTGAGAATTTCAAAGGACCAATCACAAAGTGCATTGTTTTACTATGGTCCCAAAGAAGCAAGGATCCTAGATGAAGTTCTGAAAACAGTTGAGGACAGATTCTATTTTGTTTGTATAGACAGATATTCACCTGTTAGAGTGCTGTGAAAGAAGAAATCAATATAAAATATTAGGATTTCTTGTATCTCACATGACAAAATAACCTGGTGAAATTACATAAATCACTTAAAATTTAACAGTCAAAGAAATACAGATATGAAGACAAATTTACCATCAGTGGCAATGAGGAGAAAATAACTTGCAGTATCAACTTGACATTTTTTCCTATTAGATTGTAGATTTTAAAGATTATTAATATTTCATCTCCCTGCCAAAGGGTGATTGTTCACTTTCTTTCACTGTCTCTCTCTGGGGAGCACACACATCCTATGGCAAAAACCTTACAAAAAAATAGGTCTATCAAATTGCTCTTATGTTAGCTTAATAAACCTGTCTGTTCACAGGTTTATTTTTATGTTCTGTATTTATTAGAATTTAGGATTCCAATATGTTCACATAAAAGTTTAAGTGTGCTTCCATTACAGATAATCCCTTCTTGACTGAAAAACACTCTACATGCACATATATGTATCACTGCTATTTGTCATTGCTACTGCAAACTAGTCTTTAAAGGAGAAATCACTTACTAAAATCACTGTTTATTATCAACAGTGCAGAAAAAGAAGTAAGATATTTTGTTACTCTTAAATACACAGAATTAGGTGAAATAAAAATAGAAAACCAAGGAAAGACCTAGTTTCAAAACTCAGAAATACAATGTTAAAAACTTATTAACAGGATTGGGCTGGAACTGAACTTAGCATCTATAATAAATGTTTTGACAAAGCAAATTAAAGGTATAAAGACTTTTTTAAAAAGGTTATTAATATTATCTCTGTTTAATTGAAACAAGCACTTTCATTGGCTGTTATAGGGAATATAGATGACTAATGCTGTTGTGAAAGCAGCTTAATAGCTAATGTGTATTGATGGAAATTTGGGGAATATTTATTCCACTTCACAGTGTATTCTGCATATAGGATTATGCTTTTTGAAAGGCATCTGATAAAACCATTTTCACTCAACTCTGCTGGTGGCAGATATGCAGGTCATTATACAAAAACAAGGAAAATAGGATATGAAGAGTACACGTATAAGTTGGAATTCTGTTAGCCAGAATCAAATTTTGATAAATCACACAGAAGTGGCATGGGAATGAACCAAATTAGAGTGACCCCAGATAAGAAAAAGAGTGGGGAACCTAGGAGGAGAGTCACCATCAGATATTCAGGAGATTCTATAAATTCCTTCTAGTTTTGTTGCTGCCTCCCTTGGGGGTCTCCTGAAAACTTTGGGAGCAGACTCTGCTTTTCTTGCCTGTAAAAAGAAAGCATGTTTAAAAGACCTTCTCCATTTCCTCTTCCCAGCAAGGATAAACATTTGTGAGTCTCAGTCCCATTCATTTTTTCAGTGTGAGGTGAATACTCAAGTCCTTTGAACTTTCCGAGACTGCCCCCACCGCCCCACCCCATCCTAGATTCGCCTACCCAACTTCACTAGACCTCCAGGTATTCTCATTATATTTCTTTCATTTAGAATCCATTGGTTTTCTGCCTGTCATGTGTAAAGTTCCAAAAAATGCCCTGGCCTCTTCTCCTTAGTGATTATCTGAGAGTAGAATGAACTCCTAAATATGGACCCTGGAGGACATGAGCTGTTGTCTACTTCTCTCTAGTTTCCCTGTTCTTGTCTGCAGATGGCTGAGTACATGGCGTAGAGGTAAAGAGAAACGTTCTTCTTGGTTTTAAGTGCCCAAGGATTGGTTCCAACATTCTAGCTTACTTACCCTTGTCTTTGTTCCTTCTTCTTTCAGTCTTGTTATAGGAAGCTTTGTTCCGGGACTCCTGGAAATCCTTGGTTTCATGTCCTCCTCCTTTGAGCACCTCCTGAGGCACCTCCTACTTCTTTCAATATGGCCAAAGGCCCTGCCGTCTTTGCGCTTCACCTGTGGGTGGAGAATGAGGATGGTCTGTGAATTAGCAGAAATGACAGGCAGCATTCACAGGTGAATATAAGGTCAGATTTGGGAATTGGACATTGGTTTTGGAAAGGGAGCATGTTCGTTTGGCCCATTAGGTGTCAGAATGTGTAAGATATGATGATCTTGCCACAGCAAATGTTAGAGAAGGGCACTGGGAGGAAGGATTATAGGCTTCATAGGTAAGGATGTGGGTGAAGATGGTGAGACATATATCAAGATTGTACCAACACGTCTGGATATATATACTAAACAGGAAGTGGTGGTGGTCTGCAGTTTCTGATCATGACCACTGTCTGCCTAGGGTGGAGAATTTAAGCAAAGGTAGCTTGTATGGACAGGTAAAATTCAGTTACAGACACAAAACATTCCATGTTCAAATCCATTCTCTGAGATTCACAAAGCCCCTTCTGACTCCAGAAAGGTCCAGGCCTCCACTTACCCTGGGATCCTCCTCCTCCTCCACTTCAATGGGTCATCTCTTTTTTATCTTCAAGGTATTTGTGGACGCAATTCTGTATGTTTTGACCTGTCACATCCTTCATTTCTTGGAGCTTTAGGTTGGTCTTCCTCAGATAGTGATTTTAGCTATTTGGATTCACAAGAAAAAAAAAATTAAATGGAGGCAAGAGTACATAGTTCTGGTTCTTTTGATTCAATTTAGGATAAATTACAGAGGTCCTGTTTGCCCTACAGTTTCATGTGTGTGACTAGCTAAAGGGACAAGACTGCATTACAGATACCTCTGCACAGATGTATACTTACATCATTCAGTAATCGATATCCTGGACCAAGTCCCACCTCACAATCTATTTCCTGGAAAAAGTTAATGACCACAGTGAAAAGTTTCTAGGGAAAATAGGGCTTCATAAACAGGAAGGAATAAAATTCTGCTGGTCATGAAAATATGAAGAAGAAATCTAATGACCTCTCATGAGATTTTTTTATTGATGAGAACTTAATCATTGTCAGAAAGAATGATGTCCAATTAATGGGGACACAAAGCAGATTACAGTCAAATAAGGAGAAATGCTGATGCACAGACCGTACCCTCAACTTAAATTTAAAAAGAAAGGGGAGGGCAGCAGCTGGAAATGAAAAGGAATCCTAAAATCTTCTGATTTTGTTTTTTAATTCAATTTTATGTTGGCAGATACTGTAACCTATTTAAATGATAGGAAGATGGATCAGATTGAGAGGGAAATAATTGGAGAAAAAGTGTACATTTTGTAAATAATACTATAAAAGTTGAGACCAGCTGTTGGCGTAATAGCTATGTCGCTGGATTCCCATGTAGTTGACTACGGTTTGGGTCCTGGACCCGGTGGCTTAAACTCATGCCAGGTGCGTGTGCATGTATACCCAAGATCCCAAGAGGAGAATAGAGAAGGGATTGCAGCATGGCCATCTCCTCTGGAGGGTGATTTCTCCCTTTCTGTCTCTGTCTTTCTAGTGAGTGCACACACCCTATAGCAAAAAACCTCTTCAAAAACAAAACAGAAAAATAGACTATAAAAGTTATACTATCACAAAAACAAAAGGATCTCAACACAAATTTAAAGAATTTAGCTGGGATTAAAGATAATAGCTCACCTATAAAGGGGGAACAGCTACAAACAATAGATAGCAATACAGAAATACTTCCAGTTGAAAATACTTCCAATCTTAGGTATTTCATTTGTGAAATACTTCATGTGTTTACAGGATAGTCAAGATTATGGAAACTCAGAAATTATGTCAAAGGTGTGAAATATTTTTTATTGAGCATAGTAGAAGGTATTAACATGCAACATCTGGGAAGATTGCTAAGCATTTTTGAGAAATAACCAAAATGACCTCAGATACAATGGAATCTTTTCTGACAATTAACTTATGCCCCTATTCTTGAAAAGTATTGTGTGGCCACTGCCCTATAAATGCCTCCTATATTCCAGCAACGTTTTATTTTTGTCATATTGCTGTATATTGCAGGTTTTTATACTCATACATTTCCACTTTATTTTCTTTTTTTTTAAGTTTGTTTATTTCTCCCATTAGTGAGAGAGGCATAGAGTGATACTGATAGACAGTACCCATGACTGGGGGCCCAATGCTGAGATCCAGCTTCAGCCAGGTGGAATCATGGGCACTTGTGTGCACAGTGTACTCGGAGCTTTCTTGATGAACCAGCAGTCTTCCCAGGTGGGTCTGGCACACTTAACTGCCTCACCACCATCCAGCCCATTTCATTTTATTTTCAAGTCAGTTGTCCTCCATGTTATTCTAGCATTATGTCTACAGAGATTCCCAATGTGTTGGCTCTCTCCTGTATCCCTAAAACCTAGAATGTTTCTTGGTACAAAGAAAACACTCAAGAGTATTTATGAAGGAATAATAAACTGAATGAATCTAATTTCTCTTCAAAATGACCTGTTTTCTTTGCTCCTCACCTTTCTGTGAGGGTTATAGTTCTTTAGTTTTCTGGAAAATCCAATCCAATTGAATGAGGTCTGTGTTTGAGTAGGAAGTCCTGATTAGGTCACCTATGAAATGGGAGTGTGTCCCTTGGAATGTATCCCTGATTAGATTTGTTAACTGTTTTCCCTATATAAAGGAAAGTCATACAGAGGATGCATTTTCCCAGAGGAGAAACTGACCAGGTCAGGATGTTGGGAGAAGAGCACCTTGCTGCTTGCCTGTGGACCTTGCCTCAGAATCTGGCTGGCTTCACTGTCTCCTTCAACTTTTGGTATCTGGTGAGTTCTCCAAACATTAAGATCTTAGCAGGTCTCATTCCCTTATAGTTATAAGTCCTATCTATCTTTAGACTTTTGTCATATCAAAGCAACATTTTAAGGCCTTTTAATGTTATTATTTCAACATATGCTTCACCATTCTTAGTTCCTCATTTTGATTATTTGTATCCTTTTTGCATTTTTGTCTTGAAACTATTTCATTATCTTAACCATCCTTTGCCATTCTTATTTCCTCATTTTGATTATTTGTATTCTTTTTGCCTTGAAACTGTTTGATTATTTTAACCATCCTACTGGATTCTAGATCTGTACTATCCAGCACAGTAACTACTAATCATATGTAGCTATAAAATCTAAATTAAAATTAGATTATTAAACTTCAAATTCATTTGATTTGTAACTACTTATGTCTGATTGCTGCTATATTGGACAAGGCAGATAACAGAACATTTCTTTCTTCACATTAAGTTCTATTAAGCATGTCGATCAAAATCTTAACATTTTCCCTTTTATTTTCCCAGAAAATTATTTAGTGCTTCTCTGTATTCTTTTTATATAGTCATGTGATTTTTGTTTGTTTCTTTGACTTATTGTGATAGGTACTTATATCATTTATTTTAAACTTTTTGAAGATTTTAAGTAGGAGAAATAATTTTTATCTGATACTGTTTGAGTTTTGCTTCATTAAAACTTACATAAGGTATTTAGGAAGTTTTTATAATGTACTTGTCAAAAAATTATGATGAACTTACTCAAAAGATAAATTTTTCTCTTAATTTCAAGTTGGCAGATTATAGCTTTCTTTTCTTTCTTTCTTTTTTTTTTTTTTTTGGAGAGGTTTTTGCCATTGGGCACGTGCTCTCGCCAGAGAGACAGAAAGCGAGAAATCACCCCCAGGTGGGATGGCCACGCCGCAATCCCTTATCCTCCATTCTCCTCTCAGGATCTTGGGCATGCACACACACACACACCCGGCGTGAGTTTAAGCCACCAGGTCCGGGACTCGAACCGCGGTTGACTATGTGGAAGTCCAGCGACATAGCTATTATGCTAACTGCTGGTCCCACAGATTGTAGCTTTTATGGGGTCTTCACCATGGGTCTGTGTAGTTCTGAGGCTTCCAACTGCTTCTCCAGCCTGTAGACAGCCCATCTGTAGACTGCTTTGTGAAATAATTCCTATATTGAAATCCGTCTTCTGGGTATATTCATCCTGTTGGTTCTGCTCCTATGGTTACCAAGGAGTAATTCTTCCTTTCCACTTGAAGGGCTGTTAAATTGCATATGTGCAGGGGTTTCCTAGAAAACAGATAGGGATATTGAGCAAAGAAAGCTCCCTTTTTTCTTTTATCTTTCTTTTTTTTTCTTTAAGAGTTTTTTTTGTTATAGGGCTCGTGCACTTACCAGAGAGACAGAAAGCAAGAAATCACCCCCTAAGGGGAATGGCCACACCACAATCCCTTCTCCTCCAATTTCCTGACAACCCAATAGAAGAGACATAATATGCTTAAATGATTAGAGGTTTACTTGTGAAGAGATAGATCTTTTTTTTAATTTATTCATTTATTCATTTTATTTTAATTTGACCATGGAGACACAGAGAAACAGAGAGAGAGAGAGAAAACCACCATGTCCAGGACTTGAACCGTGGTTGGCTATGTGGGAGTGTCCAGCACCTTACCCACCACGCCACCTGCTGGCCCCAGATGAAGCAAGCTACCAGGTCCAGGATTCAAACCACAGTCGACCATGTGGGAGTCCAGCACCCTTAACCACCAACCTGCTGGCCCCTGAGATAAATCTTCAGTGAATGATTTGTTTTTGAAGCAGTAATATAGTTCCTGACAAGTGAAGATAAATGAATTCATTTAGAGATAATGGATTTAGTCACATATATAATAAATAGCATGACTTTTTTTTCCCAAAAAAATTATTTATTTGGGGCCAGCGGGTGGTATAGTGGTTAAGGCATTGGACTCCCTTGGGTTTGAGTCCTGGACCCAGCAGCTTGAAATTCATGCTGGATGTGTGTGCATACGTGCCCAAAATCCCAAGGGGAGAATGGAGGAGAAGGCACTGTGGCATGACCATCCCTCTGGAGAAGATTTCTGTCTCTCAGTCTCTCTTTCTCTCCAGTGAGCACATGTGCTGTATAGCAAAAATCTTTAAAATAAAAACTAAAAAGAAATAAGATTTTTAAAAAATATTTAATTGTATCATTATTATTTAATTTGATACAGCCACTCACCAGAGATTCATAGAGAAAGTGAGAAAGCAAGTCTCCAAGACCAGCACTCTAGCTATGGTTAGCCTTGTGGGAGTCTAGTGCCCCAACTACCACACCCGCTGGCCCCTGTAGTGTGAATCTTAATAAATACAAGAAAAGGAATAACCAATGGATATAAATGAAGTAATATTTGTAGATACAGGGATAAACTAAATTATATAATCCATCTGTAATTCTTTGGGGAGGGGAATAAATCTTTTAAATAATTGCTTATTTATCTATTTCCATTATTTCCTTTTTTTTTTTTTTTTTTCAAATTTGACCAGAGAGACATAGAGAAAGGGAGAAAGCAAGTCGCCAAGTCCGAGACTTGAACCGTGGTCAGCCATGTGGGAATCTAGTGCCTTTAACCACCACACCACCTGCTGACCCCTACAGGGCAATAAATTTTGCAGCCAAAAATTCATGTGTTGAAACCATAACACCCTCCACACAGGAACATAACTGTATTTAGACCTTTAAGAGGGTAAATAAAAAGGGGTCATTAGAGTGGGCTCTAGTCCAGTATGACTAGTGTCTTTATAAGAGGAGGAAACTAGGGCACTGGCCATGTACACAGGGAATGGCATGTGAAGACACAGAGAATACTAGCATGTACAAGCCAAGCAGATGGGTCTTAGAAGAAACCATCTCTGTAAATCTCTTGATTTGTAATTTTTGGTCTCCAGAATTATAAAAATACATTTATCTTTTTTTTTTTTTGGTAGAGGTTTTTTGCTATAGGGCATGTGCGCTCGCCAGACAGACAGAGATAGAAAGCAAGAAATCACCCCCCAAGGGGGATGGCCACACCGCAATCCCTTCTCCTCCATTCTCCTCTTGGGATCTTGGGCACGCATGCACACATGCCCAGCATGAGTTTTAAGCCAGGGGTCCAGGACGCGAACCGTGGTTGACTACATGGGAGTCCAGCAACATAGCCATTATGCTAACTGCTGGTCCTT